TGCCTCGTCACACAATGTTGTCCAAAGTTCGTTCAGGCTGGAACAAGGCTAGGAGCAGCCAGACTAAAACATAGAATCAATGTATGAAGTCTCTGGCTGTTGGTTTGAGCCATGTGGGGCGATGCAGACTAGGTGGTTGAGGTCCGCGGGACAAGAGGAAGCAGTGGTTGGAGACTAGGTGATATGGCTGAGAACCGATGTCATAGGCGCAGATGTATACACACATTATCCTCGTCTTAACGCCTTACCGAATCTCACCATTTTCTCATTCTTCCTTTCTCTGTTTTCGTACTTTATATTTCTTTCGACCGAATTTTCTTTTCTTCATCTTCTACTTCACTGCCTTTTTACCTGATGTACTGATATGAGCTGTGGCAACTCGGACCGTTACGCAGTAATGTCTGGTCCTACGTTGATTTACATGGATGGGAAGAGTATTTTACGCTACAACTACAACTGCTTTTCGTCTAACCACTATCCAACAGACGGTTCTGGTAGGATAGGACCTCGAGGGAAAAGTGTTCCAGACAGTGTAGCTCGTCCGGTCATTGTGATAAGCAAACCCAACCAGGTATTGACCGGTGTCTGAGAAAACCCGGGAAGGTACTACTGAAGGAACAGAAGACAACCCAACGAGAGTATGTTTATAGCGAACAATTGGAATCGTAGTGGTTCCATATGGTACTCCTTGCAGTAACGCAGCCATTTGCAAATGTCTTCGTTTCTTCTCCGTTCCTGTCTTGATTTGCTCTTGACCGGCTCTTCATACACTCTTATCAGCAGCATCCCCTGCAATACGCCTGTGTTGTCCCTTGCGCTGCTCTTGGCAGAAACCTTACCCATTACCGGTAATTCCTATGATTCCTGCCACCCTTTCCATATATACTACTTATATCAGTTGTTATCAGCAACGCCCACTACACTATTACTCGTAAACTGCTAAGTTCCATAAATTTTCGTGGAGATAAACTTGCCTGGAAACAGTGTGCTAAAATGCATAGATAAACAAATCAACCGAAAGTAGGAGGAATCACAGATATCATTCGACTGTGTGCTGATAAGTTACACTGTACAACGACTGCAATACGTGCTTCGTATTTGCACACCACATGTGAAATTATATCAAGCAGTTGTTTTGCCACTGTATGCACGTCATATCCTAAAAAAGGGTCAGCCGTGACCTGGATAGCTGAGTGGTAGTTTCTAATTTCAATACAATTTAGGATTACCCAGGCAAACATCAGTTTCTTCAAGGTTCTGGCTTCACTTTCCCGATGAGCACCAACAACCATGAGACACTTCCAGAAATCACTGTCAACCGACTCCTAACAGCTAACACTATATAATACATTGCGCTGCAATGTCATGGCATGTGCCTTACTGGCCAAATAGCAAACTTGACCGATGGGTTTCGGTCAGTGCTGAGCAATAGAGACTAAATGGTTTACCCACTGGGTACAAAGTCACATACTTATAAACGGCCAGAGAGTACTTATGTGCAAGGCATCATATGACTGCTATCTTCGAGGCGAATTTGCAGGGAAATCGGCCAGAAGACAGTGAGCATTCAGAGGCATTATTAACCCAAAGCAAATTCGCTGCAGGTGCGGGTAATATACTTCCAAACAGCTAGTCTAGTGGTTAACAAGAATAAACCGATAAGAATCGCTATAATTATTTTTCCACTCCATAGGTAATCAAGGACTTCAGTGTATGGAGAGTGTGCGCTGTTTAGTTCCTTCTTTTTCTATAGCTCCTAATTTTCTAGTGGGAAGGCAGCATCAGTAATTCACTAGTGGTGTCTCTTTGGCATGCAGCCAGCAGTTGGACTTCATTCTCGGACCATGATCATCGCGCAGTATTTCATACTAGGACTGGTTACTGTCTCACTGCTATCCAACTGACCTGTCTGGATCACCGGGTCTCAAGAGAACAAGTGTTTTACCAACATAGCTAGTCGCTCCTACGTGACACGCAAGCCCGACCACTATGTCAAGGTAGCAGCTATTAATCTGGTGCCGGTGAAGAATTTTCATTGTTTTCGTATGATGGAATGGGGATTATATCGAATGGGTGTGACCTTATGAGATCAGAAGCATAAATTTAATCATCTAATCAGACATTGAAAGTATTCTGGATTGTATTATCCAAGACTAGGTTGGCTACACGGAATGCTAAATAGAATAATAATAACCTGATTTATCATGGGGTTCACAGATTCAATGTTTTCTCAGCACATAGTGTTGTGAAAATAAGCATACACACCGATATTTAAAATAAATAATGATAAGAAGAATTGGCTCTTAAAATATTACATTTCTTACTGCTATGTGGATTCCTATTACTAGCGGTGAGGATGTTGTCGAAGGTGGTAATGACTGAAGGTGAAATGGAAACCTCGGTCGTGGCAACAGCCTATGGATTACGGACCCGGTGTTCTATCAACTGAATCACGAGACGCAGATGTTCATTTCATTCAGTCTACCGGGTCATGGCTATCTCAGACATAACCAACAACAATTTATTTTCAAGCGTGTGTATTATAAGTGAATTATAGAGATCCAAAAGTCCTATGTGTGACAGGTCTCATAAAGATATTCCTTGGTTTGTGTGGTCACGACCTCAGGTCGAAAAGATCACCCATAATAATTCAATACCTTCGTCAAGGACTTCAATGGGTAGTAATATCTTGTCCCAAGGGTCTTCAATGTCCACAGCCTTCGTGAACCTGGAAAGGGACGGCTGCTAGCTTACACTTGGGTCACCGACGTATATTGTGTTTCTGAGACATGTATACAAAGCTATTTCCTGACCTCAGATGTCCAGTTTGATGAATCAGCGAAACTCACCCTTCCAGTATCCGGGATCTCGTGGGCTAGTCCCAGTGGTCTTGCAGGTGTAAGTATAGCGTTACATTCTGAGGCATATTACTCGAATGGGTCCCAGTTGGCAGGCATTTATGTACCGTTCGACTAAATGGTACTTTGAAGGCTAAAACGGATAGTAAAACACACCGATATGTTTTTATAATCTCTGCTTACATACTCGTTGATGGAAGTTAACAAGAAGGTGTGAAAATATCTTCGAAAACTAGTTAACCTGCTATCAAGCTGCAAGCCGTTGTATATGATTGTTGTAGTCAGTAGCTCCAATGCATAAGTAGGACGACGCTATCTCTGGCGCCGACCGGCGAGATTTTCGAATACGCATTAAAAGACAAGTATATTACACTACAGTCCGCTCTATTCTATCATACGCCTATGTGACTTGGCTGGCCATTAACCATCGAAAAAATAAAGAGATAACTGGTTTTTGACTGCATGTATCTCTACAGCATCGCTCATGTGTGGTTGAATCAGCGTGAAAGTAATGTCGGAGTTAGGCAGAGAGCGCTAGACAAGGAAGGTAAGTCAGTCGATGAGGTTGTGAACCTTCAACGACTGAGGTGGCTTGGACGTGTGTTGCGCATACCGAGACAGCCTACTTTGACGTGCATTGTTAGGTGGAGTGGGATTAGGTTGAAAGAAGGTTCAGGGTGACGACACTAAGACGTGGTACATGCTCATGAAGTTTCTGACTGTTGGTGAGAACCGTATGAGGAGGTGTAGACTGGCTGTGGAGTCCTGGAGGCGATAGGAATCAATGGTTGGAGACTGTTGGTGACATGGCTGAAAACCGGTCACGGTGGTTCAGGTGTATTCACTCTTCAACGTCTTCTGAAGCTTGGGCACTTTCACTAACCTTGATTTTCAAACTTCATCTCTCTCTAAACACCTTTTCTACTTTAATATTACTATTTTTGCATCCACTTGTTCCTTTTAGGCCACTGCGAAGTGTTGCAACTTGAACCGAGGCACTTTTCTGCGAGGTTCTGTGCTGATTTTTCTATCTCCTGCCGGATTAACATTTAGTACAACAATTAGTTAGGCAAACCCAAAACAATCAATCCGAACAATTAGTTTCATACAGTTCTAAGGTAGTTATAAATGGGTTTCTCAAAATCGTATTTTACATGCTTGCTAATGCATACAGACATGAATAACGTTATCATGGAAGATGACTGAACTCATTCAACTGGTAGTGAACTTCCACAGTATGTTATGCAAGAACACGAACATCGGATTTGATATTATGAAGATCATTTTCTTAGTTAGCATTTACGCTAACCCACTTATACCTTCATTCACCATTTGGTTTTTGAGAGGTATGGTATCTTTAACTCTTTTTCATAAACTAAACTGAACCTTAATGTAGTGACTGATTCTCTCAAAATAACGTCGGATTGTTGTGATTTATGATACTTCAAAAGGTTGACTTCCGAAACAGTAACAGTTTTACCAGCTGGTATATTTTTGTGCTAGATGTGTTGATATACCATCAGTTGGTAACTATTGTACAGCAATAATAGACACAGTGAATTGAAAAAACCAAAAATTCTTTAACCAATGGAGTCTGAAGAACAAATATTAATTAAACTGATGCAAATTGATGTGATCTTGAGAGTTCTCATTACAATCAGGATTCCGATCATAAAAATAAAACGATGGACAAATAATCTTTAGAAAGTCAACAATATTGTCTGATCAAACAACAAAACAGATAGTAAGATGAAGATCGTACCAAAAAAATATTTACAAAATGTTTATACATCAAACGAGGAAATTTATTACAAAACTCCACCCAACGTGTAGGTGACTGCATTCAATACAGGCTCTGGTACCCTGACTCCTGTCCGCATCTTTGGTAGTTGTACAAACTCAGAGAATCATTTGAACAAGATTAGCGAAATTTTGTCACCTTTCACTAGGTGCTACATTCAAAACAGCAGTTCATTGAGCATTAAGTGAATAACAAAAGTAGTGGTATGTTAGATTGGAGTTAGAAGACTTTGAAAAGTAATTGTTATGATACTGACTAAAAAAGAATAATTAAAATTTTTTCCACATACACAGATATTGCGCCTAACCGCTCATGAATTATCTATCCAACTAGTACAAAGGTTAAATAAACAAATTGACCTAGAAGTAGGAAGAGAGAGAGAGAGACAAAAAAACGACAAACAGATGAAAATGACGGAACAATTACGCAATTTAATTGTATTGGATAAATAGAAGTTGACTTTTAGGTTAGAACGCTGGTGGATTGTATTGAACACTTCAAGTAAATTTGGGTAAACTAAAATTAAGTGAATTATAAATAACCTATACTGCAAAAATTATATGAAGCTGAGAAGTGATGAATACTGGTCAGTTGACATGAAAAAACAAAGTGTTTGACGAACACAATTTAACTGAAATGCAAGACCGATTGCAAAACGTCATCAAATGCCAATCAGGTGTCTTTCTGTAACCAACTGATGTTAGACACTAAAGTGAAAATCATCTTTTAAAATCTACGAACGCATTTAATGAGATCACTATAATATCGTGATATACTAGTAGTTGACTATTAACAGTTATATACTGCTCGAATTTTAAATTCAAAAAGCCTATAAACAGAAATCTACAGCCAGTGAATCAAGGAACTCTGACAAATTCGAAGTGAATTTTAAACACAAACTGATCAGAACTAAATAGTTACAAGGGCAGTTTTTTCGATTTCATTCCGCGATATTCTAATTCGATTCTAAGACTGATATCATTATTTCCATCTCCTTGCCGATTGACTTGCTGGTCTTCTTCGATTGTAACAGCTTTGGCTGGTATACAATTATGCTAAATACTACGTTGCTGGTATCTGTCTATCAGCTGACATGATCATATGCAGGCTTTGAAATGTACCAGTGGATATTATGCAACTTGGTTGTTGAAAGACGAGGAAAAGACACTTACTGCAGAACTACTGAAAACTAAGGAAGCAGTGCAGAGTCATTCCCTCCTAATCCCAAGTGTTTGGTGATGCATTTAGATGAACATGCTTTCTATGGGCTAAATAACCAGGCTCTACAAGGGCAGGTGAATTGGTAGACGTACAAGAAGATGGTCTAAAGTAGTAGTTTATCCTTCACACCCCGTCGAATGAGTTGTTGGTTGGAGAAAACAATCCAAAGTTGAGCGGAAAAGGTTTTCCTCCTCGATTATTGAGTATCTCTGGAGATGCATTTCTTTTACATCCAATATTAATAAATAGTGTATTTTTTGAAACTAAAGGGTTCCAAACGTACCTCCCAAAATTATCCTGTATAGCTGTCTAAAGGAGGATGGAACTCGGTTCTTGAGAACCTGGTTAAATCTGGTCACTCTGCTCCACTAGAATCTTTCTTCGATATCATTTATAAAGTCAAATCAAACATTTTGAAGAGAATGTGAGCCCACCATCCGATCACAGAAGACTTGACAATTCATCGGTTTAAGCGTGAACCCTATGTACAAAAGACATACGTCCAATTTCGAATTTTACCTTGGCCATAATCACTATAAGACATTTTAGTTATCGACAATTATATTGTCACCTCCTTTCCTTACTCTGTAATTGTTGTTTTTAACGGAACCGTTTCTTTTCTTGCCCGTGTTATCACTTCATGGATTACTACGCTAATATAGGATGACTAGTTTTGAAATGATTTACAAATTGCACGGTCCACATCGACATTTCTTACAGCTGAGTAGCTTTCTAACTGCCCAAATATGGTGTCAACCAGGTTTTCGCTGGAAACCACTCGGCCGAGATTACAAGATGTGATCTTTAACACAAAAGTGTCCTGAACTTGAGTAGTTAGCAACCACTCCGAGTGCACTGCTAATGGGCCCGGTTCCAAATGAACGAAACAACCATCCAGTGTTTAGATCCCTCTGATATCTGGTTGGTGAATTACTACAGATCAGCCTGAATGGTTTTTTAACTACTCAAGTGTTTTAGGAGAAGCATATCTCATCCAAATATCTATAAACATTTTCTGATGAGTTTGCGTTGACCTATTTTAGCCAGTGATGGGCATATATTTTCATTGCAACCATAAATACGAATGCACAGCTTCTAAAAATGATCTGCTGAAAAGTAAAATTACTTCGCTGGTTTGTCCTTTGTTAATTTCTGATGACTCAATGCAACTATTTCAATGCTCGAAGGATAGAAAAGTTCTCCACATGATACAAAATCACGGTGAAAACTACCTTCAAATAAAAATGTCCTCTAGTCAGCTTCTATCCTAAACCACATAAATTTGCCTAAAAAAGTGGTGAAATACAAATACTTATGTGAAAATTGTCGGTTGAGCCTATCATTTCAGAACATAAGATGCTAACCAGTTCATGCAAATAGAAATGGGTTGAGCCCAAACCATAAACTTTGGGAGTAAATGTAACTACGAAGGACAAACAGCTTGGAAAATGAATGAAATGGAAACGAAACAACGAAGACCGATAAATCGCATATACTTTTTCTAGGTAAACCGTTTTCAAGAGGGTCTTCCTAGCAAGATCGATATTCTGAGGAATAATTCAAAATATTTGCTTATTTTGCTTTTTGTTCTAATACACTAAGCCGGGATTACACAAGTAAAACACACCGTATACAATGAACATATTAACTTGGTGTCCAAGATTTCCCAAACAATCCATTTCATCGTTGGTCATCCACATGCATGTTGTAGCAAAGGGTACAAGTAGTTAAAATTTAAAAAAAACCAATTCTAATTTAACAGAGAAAAGTTAGTCTAATCTGATTCATTGAAGCAAGCAGGGTAATCATGGTTACGTTTACTAATGTTTTAATTATGCTAAATTACTAAGCGATAACATCGAGGTTAAGATCATAAAGACATATTTGTGTAGCAAAGTGGAAAAGGTGTATGAGGGAATTTTTATAATACACATTGCATATATATATATATATATATATATATATATATATATATATATATATATATGAACTAATTCAAATACGAGATTCGAAACGGTTGTAAACAACTTGTAGTCTACTCGCTAACTCACCTTTACTGTATTACTTAGCATGCATATGAAAGCGAAATTACAGTATGTAGGTATTCGGGTCATGTGGTAACACACATACAACATTAAAACCTACTACTGAATACTGATCAATAATGCATAATAGTCGACATTCAAAGTTCAATATATTCTTTGTTCATATTATCTTTAGTCAATCATTCATATCGCGAAAATGCATATAAATCTACTACTCGATCCTTAATTTTTTTTAGAATAATAACAATACTTGTGATAATAAACAGAGTATGGAAAAAGAACTTCAACTGGTTCAAGTATGTTTTCTTAGTATTTAAAGAATATGATGACTAGGAGAGAAAATTCTTTTTTTCCTCCAACAATATTTTTCAGGACCACAGAGTCAACATTTATTAGTCAGTCGATAGACATCCCAGCTAACACAATATGATAACAAGTCAATGTTCGAACAAATTATAAATATATCAAAATGCATAGCTTTAAAATATAATTTTCTTTATTGAGTCACCATTTTCTGAACTTCATAATACATTCGTCAGTTCATTCAAGGGTTTCAGTTAATTGAAAATGAAAGCTACACACACATTGTACAAAATTTCATATGGCGCAAATTGTAGATGAACAGAATTCGTCTCCACAAGGTCACATTTCAAATTTGAATTTCACGGAACTTCAGAGTTATGAGATCACTAAGAGCGAATTTTTATTATTATTATTAGTCCCTTGGGTTCCTAGTGGAACATAGGGCTTCAGTAGCACGCCTCCAGTGACCTCTGTTCTCTGAGATCTTTTGAACCTGGTTCCACGACAGCCCACAAGCTCTCATTTCCTGCTCGCACGATCTCCTCCATGTCACCCTCGGACGTCCAACTCGTCGCTTCCCATGGGGATTCCACTCGAGCAACTGGCCTGACGCGTGATGTCCTCAGTCGGCCTTCTCAGTGCATGGCCAATCCATCTCCACTTCTTCCTGCATATTTGTTGCGTGATAGATTCTTGGTTGGTTCGTTCCCAGAGTTCCTTGTTGCTTATCTTTTCTGGCCATCTGATCTTCAGCAGCGAGCGTAAGCAGTTGTTGATGAATGTCTGTAGTTTATTGGAAATGCCTTTCGTGACGCGCCAAGTCTCTGAGCCATACAAGAGCACTGACTTGACGTTGGTGTTGAAAATCCGTATCTTGTTCCGCATGATGAGTGCAGTAGATCTCCACACTGGTTTCAGGCTAATGAACGCCTGTCTTGCTTTTCCGATTCTGACTTTGACGTCCTCGTCTGTGCCTGTGCCGCCTGTAGTTGAAACAGTGCTTCCTAGATAAGTGAAGGAGGTTACTTCCTTCAAGTTTCTCCCGTTGACGGTGATTGGAGTTTGTTGTTGTTGTTGATGGTGGTGGTGCGGTATCTTCATCACTTCTGTCTTCTCTATATTCACCTGAAGTCCCGTCTTCGCTGCCTCCTCTATCAACTTGTTAGTTTTTGTCTGCAGATCTTCAAGTTTGTGTGACATTAGGCATAGGTCATCGGCGAAATCCAAGTCTTCTAGGTTCTTTTCCGTCGTCCAGTGTATCCCCCTCTTCTCGCTGCCTACTGTTTGCTGCATGATCCAGTCCACCACAATAAGGAATATCATGGGAGATAGTAGGCAACCTTGTTTCACTCCTGTCCTCACTTCACTTCAAAGGCATCACTGAGCTTCCCATTGTGGATTACTTGGCATGTGGCATCTTCATATAGTTGTTGAATGAGCCGGATAAAGGTTTGCGGTACTCCGTAGTATTGAAGCAGTTTCCAAATTACTTCTCGGTCGACGTTGTCAAAGGCCTTCTCAAAGTCGATGAAGTTGAGGTAGAGAGCTGATTGCCATTCTATGCTCTGTTCTATGATGATACGAAGCGTTGCAATTTGGTCTGCACATGATTTGTACTTCCTGAAGCCTGCCTGTTCCGGTCGCAGTTTTGGATCCAGTGCGTCTTTAAGCCTCTCTAGGATGATGCGGCTTAATATTTTACTTGGGGTGGACAGGAGAGTGATTCCGCGCCAGTTCTTGCAAGCACTGAGGTCTCCCTTCTTCGGCAGTTTGACAAGGTAACCCTTCTTCCAATCGTCAGGTACCTTCTCTTCCTTCCACACCTTCTGCAATAGTGGTGTGAGCATGGCCGCTGTTGTCTCTGCATCTGTTTTCAGTGCTTCTGGCGGTATTCCATCTGGTCCTGCTGCTTTCCCACATTTCAGTAGCTTTATGGCGTTCAGGACTTCCATTTTCGTTGGGGGATTAATGTTCACTTGTATTTCAGCGGCTGCAGGTGGTATTTCTGGACGAAGTGCAGGTGGTGGTCGATTCAAGAGCTTCTTGAAGTGGTCGGCCCATCGTTTCCTCTGTTTCTCTTCTTTTGTAATTAAATTTCCTTCTTCGTCTTTTATTGGTTTCATCTGTATTGGTCTCTTCCCTGATAGCAACCTGGTTATTTGATACAATGTCGTCAGGTCTCTGTCTCGCCTACCTGCAGCCTGTTCTGCTTCACTTGCCAGTGTTTCGTAGAAGTGTCTTTTGTCTTTGCGTGCACTCTTCTTCACTTCTTTGTCCAGTGTAGTGTTTTATACATTGTGCTCAGTTCCTCTTGTCGTTGAGCATCCTTGCACTGGTTTATCTTCTGTTTCACCATCCTCCTTTCCCTCCTCTATCAGCTTCCAGGTATCCGTCGAGATCCATTCCTTGTCTTCCACCTTCTTCCTTCCTAATACTGTTGTGCAGGTTTCTTTCCACATAGCTTTCAAAGACTTCCAGTGTTCTTCCACACAGGTTTCTTCAGGGATGTTTCTCGATATCTCCCATTTTCTCTTGATGGCTGCCTTGAAGATCTCCTTTGTAGTTTCATCCTTCAGTTTCCGAGTGTTGTACTTGAGTTGAGGTCTATCACCAGCTTCCTTGAAGGCTTTTAACTTGATTTGGAAGGTTCCTTGCACTAGGTAGTGGTCTGAACCTACATCTGCTCCTCTTCTTGACCTTGTGTTAAGTAGACTGCGTCTCCACTTTCTTGAGATTCAGATAAAGTCGATTTGATTTTTAGTGTGTCCATCTGGTGAAATCCATGTCGCTTTGTGGATATCTTTGTGCCTGAACACACTGCACTAAGAGCGAAGGCGACAGAAATCTATCGTTCTATTAGTAGATCATATTTTATTTTCGAGAATCTTCTTTCGTATCGAACATAACTGTGGTAGGAATAAAACCTAACCACTGGACAGCGTAAACACAAACTTTTGCAAATAAATTAGTCTTAATGAAACAGAATAAAATGCATCTGCAAACATCAGACTCATTGTGAGCACTAGCCTCTTGTAAGACAGTGCTGAAATTTTAACGGAAATATAGACGATGATAAATATTAAGTCAGAGATATTTTAGCTCAATATCAATCACCAAGATTATTAACTGGGTATTATTTCGTTACTCATCAATATCATTCTACATCAACAGTTCAATTGTCCGGTTCAATTATGAACAGAATGAAGACAAAATCTAAAAGTCAAAAATTAACCACGGTTTCATGGTATTTAAAAACTTCTAAAGACAAAGAATGTATGAAACTTACTTCCTGGACACGGAAAGTTCGATAAATACGACATGTCGCTCCACAAAGCATAGAATGACATCGGCGACATGGTAAATGACAGCCAGGACACTTAGGTTTAAGGCAATCGCAAACATCTTCCAAAGTTTCTAGAAAACGGCCACGAGAATCATATAACGGAGGTAAACGACTAGTCGAGATGAATGGAATGAAGAATTGTACAGAAAAAATCCACATCAAATTCAAATATTTTAAAGCATAATTAAATCATCAATACTAAATGGAAAGATTGAAAAATTACTTGTGTTACTGAAATGATATGAAAATTGTACAGAACACCAAAATACATCAAATGTGAAATCTTAAACTTCGCTAATAAACAGCGCATTGAAAAAAATTTGGCGATTAGCAGAATAATATGAACTGATCATGAAACGATTGAGCCTCACAAAAAGCATATAGACTGAAAAGCGCTGCAACGTACGATGGGTCCAATCCATTTCTAATGACTGAATAAGGTTCTCCAAAAAAGAGATAGTACTTTCCACCTCTTTGTTACCTACCGCCTTAAACCATTGAGATAAATTATTATATGAAATTTATTAAAAACCTCATAAAAATTCAGATGGACACTAACATGTTTTTAGGCCTGTTATAGTGTGTACTAAAATTGCCGTGATCTTCGTAAAAAACCCTAGATCCATATAGCCGTTCACAACCAATCCTGTTGCACCAAAATTCGGGGAAGAAGCATACGAACTAACGTGTAAATACCAGATTGGTTGAAGAGACAAACATCAACAAGATATTCTATTCCAGAAAGGTGTAGAAATAGTCAAGGCCACTGTAAATATATACAAACTGTTGTATTTTACACATATTTTAAGGTTCCAATATACTTTCTGTTATCTTACCACCTTTTTTACTTACCGAGGAACTGAGCACCCATCAAGGGTAGAATCGAAAAGTTATTGTATATATATATATATATATATATATATATATATATATATATATATATATATATATATAAGGATAAAACAGGGATATAACAAGGTCAAAAAGTACGCAACCTGAAAACACCTGCTCTGTAAATCAACGACTCAAAGGACTGAAACTCACTCTGATGCCTTACGAATAGGTTTAACAGACAATTGTCTGCGGACACTCCGTGTTAGATTGGCTTCAGACCAACTAACCTTCAGACCTTCCATCTGCCTGCCTGGATTGGTGAATTTAAGACGATCGAGCTCTCGGTTGTCCACGGTAGAGTTAATGACACAAGTGTTCATATCATCGGTGTTACTAGTCTTCACCTCATTATTACTTTGATGACCTGCAGAACCAGATTTGCGGGCTTTGGAAATCCGTTTACCAGGAGGTTGAGTAGCCAGATCTGTTGTTGATTTATTTTGTTCATCAGATATCATAGTCCTTAAGAGGTAAAACAGATGATAGTGCTAGAATAACAACATATACTGGTTACAACAAAATGAACAAATAAACTACATGCTCACTGCATATTGCTTCATCAGTCTTAGTCAGATGTTTAATCCACACCACTTTCTAAAATGCTATGTACAGAAAGTGCTTTTCACCTCAAGATTCGATGGCAGTGCAGCATACATAAATTTATCAGTTGCATTCAACTGCCCGTTCATCTAAACACATGCGAGGAATCTTTTATGAGTGATAATATATACGATAGTGAGATACAGATAAGACATAATCGGTATGGAGATAGCAACCAGTAAAGATTCAATGCAATCCAAGAGAGTTTCTGAAACAAGAAGTTCAGTTGTTAATGTAGTTTGAAGAAGCTTTGGTCACAGAATTACGACATTTTCGATAAGCATGAGGAATGCTTTTGCCACAATCCTATTTACAGAAATATGCTGGGAGTCAGTGGTCACAAGAAAACTTCACACAAAACTGTTGAATCGCTTAAAACTCCAGTGGATATAAGTCTACTTGATAGGTAGCAATAGTTCCTAGAATGCAAAATCCAAACAAATGACAGTTATCACTTTTCACCTAAATAAAAGAATGGAACATAAGATATGAATTATCGTCAGTAGTTTTTCAGTGGAATTGAATGAAACATGTCAGTGTGACATGAACACTTAATTATGATAAAAGTCAATCATTGAGAACGAACCTAGTATGAAGGAAAGTTTGGTTGAGAACGGACATCAACTGGAGATGGTACAGTTAGGTCCTTTTAGTTTGTGGTCAGTTAACAATGCATACATCTAAGATTGAGGCTAATAACGTCGTGGCAACCAAACCACACTTTAGTGATACGCTGAAACAGTGTTTTTCAAAATATAAGTCACGTAGCAGTAGCTTTAGATTGGTCAGACAATTTATTACTTGTAAAACAATTAAAATGTAAGTGCAGATACTCAAAGTTTAATATGCTAGATGACTGGCATTAGATAATTTATAACTTTAACAGGCAATTACAATGAAATGAGTACATTGCACACTTAGATTAATTGATCTCTTCATTTGATAATCTGTTTTCTCAACAACATAAAGGAAGCAAATCCGACTCTACAGACTTTTTTAGGAATAACAATAAGTGAGTAAACCATGTACCCATCTAGTCTATCAAGTTCGCAATGTGGCCATGACTAACTAACTGGCAAAATCAACAGAGAACCCCGCACAAAGATCTATAAGTACAAGTTGCCACATTTCGCAGTAGTATACAAAGAACAAGTGGATAGAATAAAACTGATATCAAAGTAGACAAAGTTGTGTGAGAGAATAAACAATCTGAAGGTAACGCTTAAAGTAAATACTCAAGCCTTAGAAGACGTCAAAGAGTGAATACATCTGTGCCATTCTGACTAATTTTCAGCCATGTCACCAAGAGTTACCAACCACTGATTCTTTTTGTCTCGGGGACCCTTACCAGGTAGTCTACATCTCCGAACACAGCTCAAACCAACAATCAGGGACTTCATCGACTGGTGCCACTTCTTGGTCTGGCCACCCTGAACTCTCTTCCAACCTAATACAACTTCGCCCGGCATGTGGCCATTAAGCCAGATAACGTAGCACTGCTGTTCACTGTATTTTTATGTTAGATGTTGGGAGTCAATTGACAGGGATCTCTGGAACTAGATTCGGTGATAATTGGGAATCATCAGCAAGGCGTATCTGTAATCATGAAGAAACTAGTGTTCCCTTGGTGGTTAAACCCCACGTCAATCAACACTGGTCAGAGACTTTACACTAAGCTATATCAATACGTTCTGGATATCCTTAGGGAAACGATGTGAATTTGAACAGGTTTACAGTGAAAAGACAAACACTTGCTGAGAGTAGTTACATTTAAAATTATGACTGTCTCAACTAGGATGCCTCGGATGTTCTAAAGATAGACGAAACAGGCACCCATTGTAACTTGAATTCTAGCCGTTTTTCAGGTAATACTGATTTGTAGAAAATACTTCACATTCCCTGATATACGCTCACATAAATACACACCAATGAGTCTACAAAAGTGAACTATGAAAACCAGTATGAATGATAGACTTACACCGGAGTGGAATTGTTATAAGAAATTAACAATGGTTCACTTATAGACATTCAATTTACGTACCGTGAAGTTAACAAGTATAAGCACACATAAGGTCTTCAAAATCGAAATTTACTCAACAAACATGTGCACATTGAAGCAGTCAGCAACAAGTCACATCTACTGTGTGAGGGCCGATGTTACTTCTAGACTCCCTGAACCTCGATAGGTTGATCGAAGCTTGAGCCAGTGACCCATCAGTCGGAAGTAGAACAAAGAACCACAGTCCCAGGGGCAAAGTCTTCACTATTGTCTCGCAGTAGAATTTCACAAATAACTATTATTTACCGAAACAACCTATAACACTGGTATGTGATCCTATGACATTTTAACTTCATAACTTTAAATAACTTGAAAGATACCTCAATCATTCCAAGATTATTTTACTTTACACAAAAATAGAACTATAAAAACCAACAGCTGCAGCATTCAGTAAGAAACACATCGAAATTTCACTAACAATCCTCATAAAGATACAGAATGAATAGTACCATGATCTGATTGACACTAACTGATACAGGTGTTAAATTAGACGCGAGTGAAATCTAACCCAATGCGTTTTTGTAATCAGTTATGCTTAATAGTGAAACTGGATTTTGAAATTTCAAAGTAGATCATCTTAGGAGCTTATACACCTGAGACGCATGATTTGCCAATTATTCAAATTGAAATCGTGTTCCTTCGAAAAAACCCGTAAGTGCTTAGTTATACCTCGTATACTGCATGGCTAATGCACTTACCTAATTACAGCTATCAAACATTAATTTTCTAGCCGTGAAATAAGCATTTTAAGGCAATAAATGATACACTACATCAACAGTAGGAATCGGTTTCAGGTGAACGATGAAAAATAGTTTCTGAACTTGATGTAAATATCATTTTTCATATGGAATAAGTACAAAAGCAATGCAAAACAAATACATTTTGATTGACAAACTAGGTCATTAAGAAAAAACACCTGCGTAAATAAATTTTGTTACTGTGAGATAACAGAAGCGTAAATAGAAAATAAACAATATCAATGAATAAAACGAAAAATTAAGTATTGCATACACTTTAACCAACACATATTCTCAGTATTGAAATCAGCAAAAGATGAGCTTGAAAGTGTGATGCCAAATGAATATTTTCTCGATTTATTCTTTCAGCAAGGCATTTCCCCTTAAAAATGACATTATAATTAGGCAACAAATAAGGAGTGAATAACAGCAGTGTTGATGCAACATAATCGAACTTAACGAAAAGACAACAACAACAGTAGAAGCTACTGAAATATACAGAAAATAAAATTGTTAACAGTGGAAAGACTGATCACCTATCGAATGAACTAATGAAAAAACCTTCACAGTTAGAAATGTTAACCATTTTTGCGTATATACACATAATAGAGTAAGTAGAAATCAGGCGGATGAAGACAAGTTGAAACTTCGAGTGTAATCATATTCAATTGTGGGTATAACAGCTTGCACGAACTTTAGAAATATCATCAGATACTGGTGAACAGCTAATTCAGCACCACCATCAGCTACAGCTTCAATCAACTTTCGCATTACATCAGCCTGTCGACATGGATGAATAGACGGCATCATATGTCCAGATAAGTGTGGATGGGCTTCAGTGGTGACAGTCTTCTTAGCATGATCTTGACTAGTAAAAAAAATAAGAGACAGAGAAAGAGACAAGCAAGGAAAAGATATTCAGAGTACGAAGATCAAAAGCATCTCATAAAATAAAGAACAATGGAACTATTAGTTGACACTAATCGAAACGCCATTTGAAGCAAGGAGTATTCAACAGTTATTTCGCAGGAATCTAAGGATCGAATCAACAATTCATCTAGTAAGTTTGAAACCGGTACTCAGTGGTTAATTTGAAAGTACATCTATATTTCGATGACTGATCAAGACTTCGACAAATTTATCAACACTTTTTTTACTTGCATCAAAATAAGGATGACATCATATCGGAAATCTAATCATGCAGTAGTATTTCGAAACATGTATCTAGCCAAAAATAAGCAAATGATAACAAACTTCAAGAGTGGAATAAATTTAATTGTTTTCCGAGCCGTTTTGTTGTTCCTTTTGCAAGCTCAGGCAGTTACTGTCAAATAGTCGGAAAATTTATATAAACCGTTGTGTTGACCTTTAAACAGGAATCTACTGTTTAACTGAGATGTACGAATATCCGCCACTAACTCCCAACAATTCATTGTCTCAAATAATTGTAGAGCTTTCTCTCGTAAAATCTAATCCATATGACGCTCTTCAAAAAGAAACTAGATTACAGACGCTTTCTTGATCTCCTTTTGCTTATTCCTCCTCCAAAAAACCCGTTCTATTGATTTTAAAACTGTTCATTTCCTTTTCCTATACTACTGCGAAGTAAGGCAGCTAGAAATTGATCAAATCTTGTGTGAAGTGATAAACTGCTCTATCTGTTAATGATGAATTCTTTCCCTATGCAATTAGTCAAATTATTACAACACTGCCCCACCGACAGCTGGTACCATGACGTGGTGGTCGGGCTTGTATATCATGATGACCCAAAGACCTAAGCTGGTGTAAAACTTGTTTCCTTGAGGTCATACCATAACCACAAAGGTCTGTTGGGTAATGGGTTAGATGAAAACCAGTTACCCTTAAAATGTTCCTAAACAAAGAAATGATACATTTTGATGGCTTAAATCAGTCATCAGTGATTAATGGCGATCCCAAACCACAGAACGCAGGTCCAACTACATTTTCTTTAATACAGGCTAACTGTAGTGGGACCATAAAGGCAGTAAGTGACTGATCTCAAGATGTCCCGTGGGCTTCGTGGTCACACAAATATTTTTTCTTTCTTTGAGGTACCTCAAGAACACATAGCCTTCCACTGTATGGGAAGCCGAGAAGTGTCAACCGCCCTCACAACTCTGTCAGCACTCAAGTTTATTCAGAACAATATCCACCTCCATCATCATTAATTTCTCCTAGCTCTGCAGCCTTCGACAACTATCTGAATCCACAGAACAGCATCACTCGTCTCCTTAAACTACGCTCCATATTACACATCGAGGCCTTCACTGTTCACACCCTCTGTCGAATTGGTTAATAGGCCTCATTGGCCAAAACCATAGCAACTCGCACCATGGATGTGTGCTGTTTGTGAGACACCCATACAGGGTCCAAGTGCGATTATTCACCTAACCACTCCCGGCCAATCTGATGAATCCACAAAATTCACCCTTCGAGTTTCTGGAGATTCGATGGCTACCTTTTACCGTCTAGTAGGTGCAGCATAGTATTCACCAATAGAGTAGAAACCTCACTACTAGATTGGATCCCAGTCGACGGTTGCCTACGCACTGTTCAGCATAGTGAGAACTATAAGTAATAGTGAAACTCACTGTTGTCTCCGCGTAATCTCTGCTTACGCACCTATTGATTGCAGTTAGGATGAAGTGAAGAATGAGTTCTACCAAAAACTGTCTAGCCTCCTTCCAAAAGCCAAACGCTCACATGTAGTTGTTGTTGCAGGTGATTTCAATGCACAAGTGACTAGGCTGAGTGAGGCAGAAAGGCACTTACGTGGCACTTCAGGAATCCCGGCTGAACAAACACATGACGACGATAGTCTACTACAACTATGATCAAACAACTGATTACTTATAGCTAGCACAAACTTCAGACATAAAAAAGGCATTGTCTGATGTGACCTCTATTGACCTCAACTCAGTGACAGATACATATAGACCACAGTGCTATCAGCCATCGATGGAGAGGGTCGGTGGAAGACTGTCGCTCCTTCTGGAGTACGTGTTTAGATAACAACCACGCGTTGGTCCGAGCGCGTATACGCCCGCATCTCAATGGACGTAGGAAAAATTCGACCCCAAAACTATTACGATTGCAACTCGACAACGAAAATACAAAAGCCGCGTCTAGTGAGAAACTGGATAGGCAATTATTGGAACAGAACACTACCACTCATCTATAAGAAGCTTCGTGCAATCTCCAGTCTGCTATAAAAATAGGATTGAAGACCGTAACCGACTCTCAAAGTGATTCAAAAGAGCCAATGGATACCGGCAGCCTCGTCTGAATTAATGGATGCATGTGAACGTATCCCTGCAGACTCTGAGTACAATGAAGAGTGAACGCAACTCAAGTGTATGCTGACAAAAGGTCTAACCAATGACCACGAATAGTGGTGGGTAGTGAAGGTTAAAGAGATGAAGAAGACAGTGGCGATTGCTAACAATAGACAATTATTAAGACTTAGTAAGTAAACTGGGGGGAAAAGGTGAACAACGATTAGTAAGACTATTGGGGAGAAGGATGGGTCTGTGATTCACTCACAAGAGAGACGACTAGAAAGATGGGTAGAACACTTCGAGGAACAGTTCAGCCGCCCTCTAGTCACCATTGCGTTGCCCGCTATTCAGTCGGATCCTGAATAGAACATTGAGATAGACCCCCCAACACTTGCAGAAGTCGAGAAAGTGGTAGGAAACTCGAAACGAAGAAGGGCAGCAAGACCAGACGGACCAACTCCTAAGGTATATAAAAACAGTGATAGTGATTTTAGTCAAGTTAACTGAAGTGTTAACTAGTATATGGGGATCAAATATGATCCCCTCTGACTGATCTAAATCACTCATGATCCTAGTCTTCAAGAAAGGCGAGAAGTCCTCTTCCGATAACCACAGATGAATCAGCCTGACGAACATAGCACCTAAGATTCTAGGTTCGATAATCATTAGACGCCTGAGTGGAGCACCGGAATAGCGAGCCCGAAAAAACCAGGCAGGCTGTAGACCTGGCCGCGGATCCACCGACCAAATATTCATAGACATTCTTAAGGAGGTCTTCCTCTCGTCATCTGACTACACGGAGATTGACCTGATCACAGGAGAGTTTTTGGTTGACCTAGAATACGCAGATGACATAGGTGAAGACGCTGACAAGATGCAGTCTTCTGGACACCTTGGGTGGCAATTTTAGAATGTTTGGGATGCAATTCTTACTACCCAAATGCAAGTTATTGCTCTAGGACTGGTTTTCAACGGTGCCCTGGATAATAATAAAGAGTGAAATGGTTGAGTGCGGTGAACACTTCACTTACCTGGGAAGTCGGGTCGGACTCATTGGCCGACGAAATCTCTGCATGGATACAGAAGGCTCGGCTGGCTTTTGTCAACTTACGTCATCTGTGGCGCCGCCGCGATATCCGTTTGTCTACTAAGGGTCGAGTGTATTATGCTGCAGTCCGCTCTGTTATACTGTATGCCTGTTAAACATGCCCATCACCACGTGAGTAACGCAAAAGTCAGGTGTAGAGTTATGAGGACGAGAGATAAGACAGTTGATGTGGTTGTGAACCTTCATCGACTGCGATGCCTGGGACATATGTTACGTATCCCTAGTTACCGTCCGCTTCATTGCACAATGTTTACGGAAGTAGGTTCAGGCTAGGAAAAGACTCAGGGCGGCCAGACTAAAATATGGCGCCAATGCATGAAGTCCCCGACTGATCGTTTGAGCCATGTAGGGCGATGTAGGCTAGCAGACGCATAAACACATTACCCTCATCCTAACCGCTATGCTTAATCTCATCATTCCTCCTTTCTCTCTTTCACTACTTTCTACTTATTTTAACCGATTTTTCTTTCTCTCCTCATCTTCCATTCTATTGCCTTATTACTTTATATGCTCATACCAGGTGTGGCAACTTGGACCGTTAGGCAGTAATTTCTGGTCCTGCATTAATTTAGATGATAGTGATGCAGCAAAAGTTGGCTATTTCACGGATTAATACCTTTAAGTGACCAGTCAGAGACATGATTTTGCGTAATAGATAATATGGAAACGATTAAAAACTAAATCATCTTTTAACACAGCACCAAGAATGAAAGCCTGCGTATTAAGCAATTCGGATACGATATATAGTTTTTTAAATGTTAGGTACTAACCAGTTTAAATTTCAAGATCCCGAAAGCCTCATGTAATTTCTGTTAGGGAATAATTTGCAACTCTGAATTATTTCCCTTAGAACAGTTCACTTTCATATTTACAGACAGCTTAGATTGGATATTTACTCGAAAAATACCCATTCACACTTTCAGTTAACATTTTGAAACAGTGGCATATCGTTTAGTTGCAATGTACTAGGAAGATAAACAGGTGAGACCACTCCTAAACGAGTAAACATAATATTGAATGTGAATAAAAACGGAACGAGAGACAGGTTATGAGAGCTTATAAATTCCCCGAATCCCGGAGAAGATCAAGCAAAGAAACTATTCCCCACAAAATATTGGTGAACCAGTACCAATTACAACAGAGCTAGTGGTGGAGAAAAACCACATACCTAAAGTCTTCGTACATTTCAGCTTCTGTCAACGGTTGGTGGTGCTCGTCATAACCAAACAACCATAGACGAGGTGTTTGATAATATTTGTCATAGGTAATGTACAAATCATATGTTCGTGTTTGTAGGATTCCATTATCACCTTTCTGATCAACATCGGACTCCAAAACAGTTTGGCTATTATTACTATTTTGCGATGTATTGGGTACTTTCGTCCGAGCCTTGACCGCCGCGGGATCACACTAGAAGTACGGATGTGAAGAAAACAATTAGGGAAGTATTTTATCAGACTGTCGACTCACAAACAGAAACACCAACTAGACTTTGAAAACCTTATCTATGTATCATCAAATAATGCACCTTAATAACTAAAATAAATGAAACATAAGTGTTCAATTGGTTTCCAACTATAATAAGTAAATAAGCACATCAAGAAACAGAGCTTGATATAAACACCTTCGTAAACTTCATACTCAGTGGAAATAAATGTTTTCTGTAGTGTGACCACACCAAAAGATTTCCAAAATGCCAAAATGTCTCTTATGTGAGAGATTACACAACAGTTACACAGGACCGTCAGGCTTAGTGGTCAGAATGCGCTAGTAAGACTGAAGCGGCAGCTGCATCTGGCAGTAATCGGAAGCTGTTACATCTCATCCGAACCACTAGTAGCAAGAAGCCTGGCGTCAGTGAGACGATCTGTGAGGTAGTCGGTACACCAATAAACAATCTTCAAAGACGCCTGCAACGTTGGATGGAGCACTTCGAAAAGTTTCAGTGTATTGTACTCCTTCATGACCGATTAACACTGACTCATATAACGAAGTGGAGGTTCATAAGGAACTCCAAGTTCTGGAACGCCACAAGGAACTTGGCCCAGTCAACTTACCCCCGGCTCCTTTTATGGACGGAGGGACGACTCTAGTCAGAAAATTGACTAGACTGTTTGAGAAGGCATAGCAGACTGATGACAGTACGGCCATCATTATGCCCATCTTTAAGATGGGTCTACGTAATGTGTGAAACAATCATCGAGGTATTAAGCTGTTACCAGTCAGAACAAAAATACTGTCTACTATCGTAAGTCTCAGACTTTACAAAACGTGAGAGAAAATGATTCGAGAGGAGCAGGCAGGGTTTCGTTCAGGTGTTGGGTGCACTACGTGTTTACCCTCAGCCAGATGCTTGAACATAGCTACAGGTATTGGAGGCAGACAATCATTATCTTTCTTGACATTAGAGGTGCCTTCGATTGGGTGAACAGAGCTATGCTCTGGAATTAACTGTTAGAGAGGGGCGTGCCTGAGAAATTTATTAACATCTTGAAAGCCCTATATAATAACACCTGAAATAGAGTGAGGGTATACAACCACCTGTCTCCGTTGTTACAAACCAGCAGTGGGATTAGACAGGGTTACCTGATTTCTATATTCCTCTTTAACTTCGTCGTCAATGACATTCTTGAGACAGCTCTGAAGGAGGTGTGTGATGGTGGCGTAGATCGACTACCTGGAGAACAGCTATTCGACCTTGAATGTGGGGACGATATTGTCTTACTATGCGATAACAAAGGCTACCCAAATCGCACCTAATCACTTAGCGATTAGTGTCTGTAAGAACGGTATGTGCTTTGCACTATCAAAGTGCAAAGTACTTTTGCAAGATTGACAGGAGCCTACCCTTGCGCTCACCTTCGGTGGTGAGCTGTCGAAAGTAATCGAAAAGTCCATGTATCTGGGTAGTTGCATGTGTTGGTGGAAGTGTCAGTGATGAAATTTCTAACCGCGTATCGAAAACCAGAGTGGGACACGCCAAAGCGACGTTAGTCTGGCCGTAAAAGGTTGCGTTTACATCACTTCAGTATGAGTAGTTCTGCTCTACGCCTGTGAAACTTGGTCTCTCCGAGCTGAGGATGTCCAACGACTCTGTGTTCAATTATCGCTATCTCTGTAGGAGTGCTCGTATCAGGTGGCAACACCATGTAAGCAATTATCAATTACGACAGCGTGTGTTTGGGAATGATAGAGATCATCATTCAATAAGTAAAGTCATCTTGCAACACCGGCTTCGGTGTTTTAGGCATGTGTTATGCATGTCGTCTCAATGGCTTCCATACCGTTCATTATTTGCTAACCCAGGCACTGGATAGAAGAGGAGGGGTGGTCAGTGTATGACGTGGTGCCGTGGGATGAGGGATTGTTGTATCCGATTAGCATCTATTGGTGCATCACGACTCTTTGAGTAGGGGTCGAGAGACAATGCAACTCAGTAGTTTGAGACGTTACCAGATGTGGTTCAAAAACTAAACCACTGGCAGCCATGCTGTAGCGTCCTCCTATCTGCTCCTGAGAAGTGATGAATGTTTGCTGGAATGTATCTTATTGAATTGCCTTTTTGATCATTCTGTTTTCGTTGTTTTTCTATTTTTATCTACTTCCCTTCACTTCATGTCTTCATAATGTTGTTATACTGTCTTTAGCGGCTCATTTCTTGGTGCACTTGGTGTACCGTGTTTGTGTCCTAATAATAATAAATAATTTTAGCAGAACAGGAGTGGTGCTCGGCCGGCTTCGATTGTCAGCAACGACCATAGGATGAAAAGTTAAGGAAATCGTAAAAGACTTAATAATGGAATTAGTAAGTGAATCCAAGGGAGGTAACAAAAGTAAGGGAGATAGGTCATAGTAAATTAGGTTTCGTATACTGTTGGAAGCCTGCGAACGGTTGGTATTTCCTCACTGCCCACACCGTCAAAGTTGTTTCTGTGAGCTAATAGAAGAAGAAAGAGGATTACTTCCGCGTGATCGCAGAGCGCACAGGATATCTACTTGAGGCTCGTGCATATAACCTTTTCAAGATTGATAGTGCCGGATACGAGAAACCTACACCGATGGTACCAGGGTAGCGCAGGACAGTTTGCGATATTGAGGTCCGGTCATTTTTAAGTCCACCATACCATAGTAAATATAGCATCAGCATAAACTGATGGCCATCTATGAGAAACATCTTTCTGTTGTTACACCATCCAGCCCAGTCAGTTCTACGACTTAGCCTTTGGACTCCGATATAACGTATTTATTTACGCTATAACAGTAAGTGCTTTTTGTCTTACTGTTAACGACAAACCTTACTGGCATTGTACGACCTGAAGGAGCAAGTGTTCCAGCCAGTGTAGCTCTTTGGATTGTTATATAAAAGCCTAAGCACCACATCAACGTGGCAGCTACCAGTCGCGACATAAAGGACGCTCACATAGTAATCGTTCTAGCAAGTATAGCTCACTGGGTTATCCGATTATAATCTTATTTCTAATGCAAACTCATGGTTTGCAAGAGATATCAATCTACGAACTTACATTAACCAATCTACAATCAAAATGCAACAAATGCGTGGATATTCAACCCAAAGTCACCATCCGACAATTGAAGTTCTTAACGCATCATGTAAACAGTATTTCAAGACACATTTGTCAAAATTTGGTCAACCAAAGAAATCCCATTTTATGTAACCATCGTATAAGGACAAAGAAACCATAACGAGTGATTTTCTTGGATGTACAAAAAGATCAACATACACACAAAACAGTCAAACTAAAGGATTGACGTACTGCTTATTGTCACGAAACACCAGATCAAATGTCATTTGGCACCGTAAGTAGCGAAAAGGAGAAAAGTGGAAGACGTTTACCGTGATTCTGATACAGATCTCTATTTGTTTTTCATAAAAAATACAAAAGGGATCGCATAACAAAATTACCATGATAATTTCAGAGTGAAAGAACACTGAAGCTGCATTCAAAGTAGCTTACCTCATCAAGCATACCACTTTGCAAAAAAGCCTCCATATCTTCATCTTCTTCATCATCACAATCGGATATCGTATGTTTATCATCGCGATTCACTTGGTTATCTGATTTCGATACTGGTGAAACTGTCATGTCATTCATTTTTCCAATTTCAAGGTTGATATCACCTAAAAGGAAAAACCAAAAGTGCAAGTTAGCAGAAAGAATTTCACTTACACTATGTATATACATATGCTGCATAAATATTGGAACGTAATAATGTCTCTGACATAATTACGAGTCGATAGGAACGATAATCACCTGTTTTTTGTCGTTCTGTTTCCCATCCATCTGATTACGACACAAGCTACTGGATACATTAACCTCATTACACAAAGTAGTAATATCTTAGAGGATGATGATCATCTGCAAGTAATAACAGATATATAACTGCGTTCATTTCAACCTGTATTTTTCAGTCAGTTTTATTTGTTTGGCACTATCTTTGTTAGATGCTGAGAGTCAATTGGTAGAAGGCTTTGAATGATTGCTTCAAGGTCCAGATGACACAAGCAATAACTTTAAATGAAGTAGACTTCCAACTATAATTGCAGTTTCACCACTTGATGAGTGTAGGTAAGCATAGAATCTAGATATCATAATTACCCCCCAAACGCCGAGGGTGAGATGATCCTCACCATCCTTTCGGAATTCTCTCATATGACCCGCATTAATAGCCTCGGCCAGAGAAGTCCTAGCCACAGCCATTACATTGCAAGGAGTGTTTCCATAAAAATGAGAGTGTAAGTCAACTGTGATGCTGTAACCAGAAAGGTATACACAAAAAGTACACGTAGAGCAGTTGGGAATTCCTAATTCCAAGCCAATGATCCACGACGCAGAATAGAAGAATGACATATTAAGCTATCTTGGTCACTTGCAACCATGGGAATGCAGCAACTCATATTGCTCTATTGCATTGTAGATCAAAATTTATGCCAAAGACTCGGAGAATAATACCTTAAGATAATCACAAACATAGGCTTAAGTTTCCGGGCTGCATCACATCCCATATAGTCTATAAATCTATGTTAACATTAACCACTGCAAAGCCCTCTTCGAATTTTGCTGCACAAACCAAAATTCATGATGGAACGAAGTGTTTTCTCAGTCATTCTACTTGTAGCCATTTTAACTCACGAACTATGCTGTTTTTTCGTTATCAGTTCCAAATTTATCTTCATACATGTCTTCCCTTAACTGTTTCTTGTCACTGACTAAAATTCAGACTTGTCTATATCGTTTTGAGTCACCAAACGGTTGCTGCTGGAAAGGTATCCCTTATTGAGATATCTGGTATTATCCTGAAACGGAGTGCATGCCATTGACTCGCCACCTTCAACATTCAGAACTTGATCCAGATCAAATATCAAACAGGTTCGACGTCGCTATCGACGTATGCTGTATCTCAGAGATCTACATACGAGATCCCATCTATCATCTCAAAAAGTGCATTCACAGTGCGTTTATCCAGGAACCTTGTGGCGCATTTGGCCGACCTAGCTGAAGTTGGTATCGCACTAAGTACCAGAGAAAAAGCTGCACTATTCAACCATATTCCCATCAACAGTCGTTTGTATTGTTAGGCTAGGAAGTTCCATCAGAGTGAGAACTGACAAGTGAAACTATTTCGGGCAGATAGATAAAATCAACGTAAAACCTCGCAGACAAGTGTATCATTACAAGTTGCCACACTTCACAGTAGTATACAAAAACAAAAGGATAGAAAAAGACTAATATCAAAGTAGATTAAGTAGTGTGAGAGAATAAACAATCTGAAGATAAAACTTAGTGCAAATATTTAAGTTTTATAAGACGTCAAGAAGTAAATACACCTGCGCCACTGTGACCGATTTCCAACCATGTCCCCAAGAGACCTCAACCCTAACTTTGCTATCAAAAACGTCCTCCAAACAGCCTTCCACCTGTTACCAGGTAGAAGACTTTCTGACGAGTGTGCAGACATTCATTGTATAGTGCAACAACACATAGGCTACTCAAATCACATTCAATCATTTGGCAATCAGTGTCAGACAGTACAGTGTGTTTTGCACCAGTGAAGTGCACAGTCCTTTTACAAGATTGACAGGCTGTGCTTACACTCGCTCTTGATGGTGAGTCACTGGAAGTTGTCGAAAAGCTTTTGCACCTGGATAACTGCGTGAGTGCTGGGCAAGGTGTGACTGATGAGATTTCCAAATGTATGTCGACGGTCAGAGCAGCGTAGGCCAATCTGCGTCAACTTTTGGGCCGCCGTGACGTTAGTTTGGCCGTAGAAGGTCAGGTATACAACGCATCGGTGATAGCAGTTTTGCTCTACATCTGCCAAATGTAACTTTCTGAAGCTGAGGATATCCCATGACTGGACGTTTACAATCACCAATGTCTTCACAGGATTGCTTACACCCGGTGAAAACACCATATGATTTATTCTGAGGTGAGGTAGCACGAGTTTTGGACGTGATGGAGATCGTTATTCGTTGAGCATGGTCATCTTGACACACTGGCTTCCGTTAAGCACATCGTCCCAACGGCTTCCACACCACTCACTTTTCGCTTCCCCTAGGACTAGTCAAAAGAAGAAGAAGAGAGGTGACTAGGGTACGACGTGGTGCCGTATGATGAAGAATAGTTGTGCTAGGTTAGGATCTATAGGTGCTTCACGACTCCTTATATAGGGTCCGAGAGGTTATACAACTAATTATTAGTTTGAGACGATGGTAGGTATGGTTCAGAATTGAAACCAGTGGCGATTAGGCAGCAGCTTTCTTGTGTGTTTCGATAACTAAATAGTAAGACAAGGTAGTGAGTGCTTCTCTGAGTGTATCTTTGAGACTGCTTCTTTAATAACCTACTTTTGTTTTTGTGTCCAATCTATCTGGCTTTCCATATTTTCCTAATGTTAGTTTATTATTTCGCATGCACACCTTTAGGATACATGTTGAACCAACCATGTCTTAATGATAATAGAGATATCATAATTTCTGCTAAGTACGTTTAATCACCTAAAATGAAGTAAAGTGCAACATAGGACTATGTTTCTTAAGTGGAGTTGGTCAGTACACAGAAGCGGAATCATAACTTATCTATCATATGGTAATAAATTTGTTCAAAGATAAGTTTATTATATGAACTGTGCTGTTGTAGAGTGCATCAATTAGAGCCAATGCACTTTTATGTGAGGTTCTGCTCAGTAACCCATACATTTTGACGCAATGGGGAAAGCCACACTCAACATGCGAGCTTATAGTGATATGCGTTTGAACAGACCGAAGTAAGTAGGGCAAGTTTTGAACGCATAATTCAGTGGTAGATAACTGTCGAATGAAAGCGCTCTTACATGAAGGTCCTAAAGACGACTTTAAGTACGGTTATGGGAAATTTCGTATTTACTGTATCTGTCAAAATAGTCATTGTACTCGAGCTCATTTTTTTAAATATCCGAAGAAGACAATGCTAAATCTCAAAAAGCAACTAATAACGAATCTTCTGCTGGTTCTACTTTCCAGCGACCATAAATCGAAACACAACTTTAATACATGATAAGCCACGAAATAATGTCAAAGAAAGCAATAATGCGACCCAATACAGATCTGTACCATCGATTTTAAGCTACACATGATACGACAGCTTATGATAACATAAAGCTACATCGATTGAAGTAATTACAACAGAGTGTGGACTCATAATTCGATGATTTGTAGTCGAAACCTTAAAAGTATTGACCACAAGTCGGCATGACAGCGCTGATGTTTGACTGAACAGATTATGAAATATGCATGAAGCTGCTTTATTTCAGCGCGTATAGAGAACTGGATTATTTTTTCAATTTAGGATCCTACTTGATCAATGCATCAAAAGTGGATGAAAATAAACTCGTAGCTCTAGTAAGGAATTACTTACCGTACTTAGTTGCATAATGATGGGTGTCTACCCAACCACCATCACCATCTTCTTCCTCCAAAACCTTCTCGAACTCTTCACTATGATCTTCCATCTGCTTCACTCTTTTATAGCAAGGTACACTCCGTGTAACCAAATATTGTTTTTCCCTGGGAAGATATGAACGAACACCTTTATCACCAGTTGCCCATTGCCACGTGGGACAATGATAAACTAAAAAGTCGCCTGCCGCAATGAACTCTTCAGGAGTTATAACTCCTGTTTCTCGGAATTTAGAAGCTTTTAACACGGGTGTTACATACTCTGCAAGTCCAAGTGCAGTACGCTGGACAGCCTGTCTAACTGATTCCATTACAATCCACTTGAATGTTCTCTAAGTTTTTTTGACGTTCAGTGCAGTGGGGTTGAAGGTTGATCCCCTCCAAGGCACCGACAGTAACAAATCCAAAGCGAAACTAGATGGAGGTCGTCAAGACCTATAAGTAAACAAAACCATGAGTGCTTTAATGAAGTAGGGTATAATTCAAAAAATCAACATACAACAGAATACCATACTAACTATCTGAGTTCGTGGAAAGCTTTCTGGAAGAGAAATTAAAGACTTCTCATTATTATTATTATTCTCTTGGGTTCCTAGTAGAACACAGGGCTTCAGTAGCACGCCTCTATTCCACTCTGTTCTCTACAGTCTTCTGAACCTGGCGCCATGACTGCCCACAAGCTTTCGTTTCTTCCTCACATGATCTCCATGTCACCCTTGCCTTGGACGCCCAACTCGACGTTTCCCCTGTGGATTTTACAAGACGGCCTGGCTTGGCGCGTGATGTTCTCAATCGGCCTTCTCAGTCTATTCCAAATCCAATCCATCTCAACTTCCTTCCAGTGCATATTTGTTGGGTAATAGGTTCTCGGTTGGTTCGTTCCCAGAGTTCTTTGTTGTTTATTCTTTCTGGCTATGCCATTTGATCTTCAGTATCGAGCGTAGGCAGCTGATGATGAATGTTTGTAGTTTGTTCGAAATGCTTTTCGTAACGCGCCAGGTTTCTGAACCATATAGAGGCACTGACATTAGCATTGAAAATACGGATCTTGTTCACGCTTTATGCCGAGCGCAGTAGATCTCCACACTGATTTCAGACTAATGAAAGCCTGTCTTGCTTTTTTGATTCTGGCTTTGACATCCTCGCCTGTGCCGCCAACTGTAGTTGAAACGATGCTGCCTGGGTAAGTGAAAGAGACTACTTCCTTTAGGTTTCTCCCATTAATGGTGATTGGTGCCTCTTGTTGTTGTTGTTGATGCTGTTCTTGGTTGAACATCTTCATCACCGTCTTCTCTACATCCACTTGAAGTCCCGCCTTTGCTGTCCTGCCTCTTCTGCCAACTTGTTAGTTTTCGTCTGTAGACCTTCGGGTTTGCGAGACAATCGGCGAGATCCAAATCTTCTTCTAGGGTCTTTTCATCGTTTCAGCCAGCGTATGCCCCTCTTCTTGCTCCTCATTGTCTGCTGCATGATGCAGTCGACCACAATCAGTAAGATTATCGGTGATAGTAGGCGACAATCTTGTCTTACTCCTGTCTTCACTTTACTTCAAAGGCGTCACTGAGCTTTCCATTATGGATCACTCGGCATGTGGCGACTTTATGTAGCTGTTGAATGAGGTTGATAAAGGTTGGTGGCACTTCGTAGTGTTGAAGCAACTGCCCGCCAAGTTAATTCTCGGTCGACACTATCGAAGGCCTTTTCAAAGTCGATAAAGTTGAGGCAGAGAGTTGACTGTCATTCTATACTCTGTTGTATGATGATGCGAAGCATAGCGTTTGAATTTGACCCGCATATGATTTGTTCTTCCTGAATTCAGCCAGCCTGTTCCGGTTGTAATTCCGAATCCAGAGCATCTTTTAGTCTCTCCAGTCTGATGCGGCATAATATTTTACTCGGGGTGGACAGGAGTATGATTCTGCGCCAGTTCCTGCTAAGACTTAGGTCTCCCTTCTTTGGGAGTTTCACAAGGTAGCTCTTCTTCCAATCTGCAGGTACCTTTCCTTTCTTCCAAACCTTCTGCAGTAGTGGTGTGAGCATGTCCGCTGTTGTCTCGGTGTCCGTTTTCAGTGTTTCTGGCGGAATTCCATCCGGTCCTGCTGCTTTCCCGGATTTCAGTAATTTTATGGCGTTTAGGATCATATTCATTACGGTTACGTAAGTTATTCGAAGATTGTTGAGATAATTTGTAAACAGATCTAGTTTCATTTATCATAACAAAAACAGTCAAATAGAACCTCAAAAATACAAGTTGAATTGAGCTTTTTTAGCAAATCTTTCATATGAATGAACGCTTTCCAATACAATATCTTAACAAAACTCACCAAACTTTTGATGATGTTGTCTTTTCTGACCTGAAGAGAGAACACAACACCATTAAAATCAACCTCGTAAGCTACAAATATTCTACATCATCGCAAAACCCTACAAGTGTCAGACGCTTCATTAAGCTATGTTAACCAAAACATCCATATGATGTATCAGTACTCGGTTCACAACTGAATGACGATTCACCATCTAGTGTACATGACTTACAGACATCTACAGTGAAAATATATTCCCTCTAGTCTAATTCTTTGTTATGGAAAAAAAAGAACTACGTTAGACGGAATATATTTTCAGTAAAGATGCCAGTAAATCATAGATACTGTAGACAGATAGCTGCAACCTTGACATGTTAGTCAAGCTTGCATATCATAACGACTCAATGAGCTAAGTTTACTAGAACTAATTTTCCCTTGGGTCCTAACTAAACTAGAAAGTCCTTTTGAATAGTAGTAAAACAAACCATAGTTAAAGTTATGGTGTTAACGGCTACATTATGACGGGGCTCCGAGGGCAGTCGTACTACTGGGTAGATGGGAGTGGGACAGTAGTAATTTGTTGCCCATGGATAACCAGCAATACCATCCTGATCCTGCCTTTACTATGGGAAGAGGAGGAGATTATAAAAGGTCAACCCCAAAAATACACTACTTCCTGCCCTGCAGTACGGGCTTCTTAACTGGACGTAAACCAACAAAAACTAAACCTCAAACTCCCTTAAGAATGTCGTGTATGGTAGATAATCAAGCAGATGTATCTTCGGCTCTATGGCCAGTACCGCTATCACTAATCAAATTTCTTTTTCAGGTAACACAAAAAGTAACTCAAAAGTAACCTTCCACAATGTAAGCAACCAGGGGATTCTTAATTGCCCTCAGAACTGCACCAGTACTCAAGTTCCTGCAGGTCATTATCAACCTTAAACATCTTTACCTTCTAATTTTTTGTCATCTTTCGGTTAATATTCCTACGTCAATAATTTTTTGCTTTGCAGCTCCTAGTAACGATTTAAGTTCATGGGATAGTAACACTGATCGCCTGAAATCAAGACCAATTGCGCGCACCCTCCGTCAAACCACCCAATAAACTTCGCTAGCCAAAACTCTAGAATATATAGTGCTGGACGCGCGCTGTATTTCTGAGACACGCATACATTACGCGAGTGTGTCCATTTCACTTAACGTCACCCAGCCAGTATGATGAATCAAAACGGTCACTATTCGAGTTTCTGGAGATTCGATTGCTTGTAGTATTGCAGGCGTAGGTATAGCATTAAGTTTAAAGGCGCTGCTCAACTGGATCCCATTTGACAGATATTCAGACTAACATGCTATCAGTGCATGAAGTCCTTAACTATCGGTTTGAACAGTGTAGGCGAATGTAGACTCCCCGTTTGGAGTTCATATGATAGCAGAAATCTAATGTAAAATTTCATATGATTCAGTGGTTGTTAAACCTATTTTTAGTGTCCAACACATGCAACCCAGTAACAGAATGATAAGGAAATAAACGAAACTAGATCACTTAACTAATTAGGAAAGATATGAGAGATGCGGAGAACAAAACTTTACCACCTTGAATCATTTTAAGTCATGTCACTGAACATCTCCAAATATCGATTCCCTGCATCTCAAGAACACTAGTCACGTGGTCTATACTTCCATATACAGCTAAGACCAACAGACAAATCTCAATGAATTGATCCCAAGTCTTTGTCCGTTTAAATGACTGCGTTTTAAAGTATGAGGTCCAGTATGCGTAAAATATATCCCAAACAGACAATGTAGTGTAATAAGCTACGTTGACCCACCTAATTTCATTACTAAGACCTCTACGCTTAAATTCAGTAATACTTACTTGGTACTTCTAAGTGCAAGTAAAAATTGGGAGATATACTGTCAAAACAAACAATTTTTCCGTGATCATATCTCAAAACAGTAGAATACGACATAATGGATCGTTGATAAGCGTTAAAACATAACCACATATTATATAAATGTCACAAATGCCACTAAATACCAGCTATTTTAGATAAGAAAAAAGTAAACAGCGTCGAAATTTTACGAAATCTGTTAGGAATAAATAGATAACTATCCAAAAGCTATAAAATTAGTAATACGAAGACTCAGTACATAGACAAACAAGAGCAGTCAAATGATAATATACTCTCGTTTCACGAAAATAGGATTGTGAGATATTACTGTCCTTGTTTTACAATAGCCAGAAACTAAACATCTGGACTGTGTTCAGCTGAGGTACCAATTCATTCGCAGGGATGCATGTCAGTTTTGTTCAACTAGCTGATGATAAGGCGATAAGTAATAAATAGTGCAACTAAATGACGTGGAACATCTTTCTACGCTCGCATATGCTGCACACCTGATGTGTAGAGGTTTGTGGCATTACCTGATTGTCCCAGAGGAAGACAGTGAAACGTGGTTTGGTGTGGTAATCTAGTGAATAGCAGTCGGAAGTCATCATCATTATCAACATAGGACCAGGCATTACTGCGTAACGGTCCGAGTTGCCACACCTCACGTCAGTTCATCAAGTAGAAAGGTAGTGAGGTGAAGGATGAAGATAAGTGAATGCAGACAAAAGAAATATAAAGTACGAGAAGAAAGGAAAGAGGGGTGACAAAATGGTGAGATTCGGTATAGCGTTGTTAAGATGAGGAAGTATGAATTAGTGAACTAAAGGCCCACTACAACAAATACACTTTGAGATGAAAGATAGTTATAATGTGCTACCTTATGTCAGAGCTTCATATTCTTTTACGTATTCCTATCATCATTCAAAATGCAACCTTGGTAAAGCATCAGCATGAAGAAATGTGCCAAGGTAATATAGCAACATTGAGGATAAACAAAAGTGATACAGAAGAGAGGAAAGAAAAAAGGAGGGAAACAAGAACAGGTATGACCTATTAGAGAAGTTTCAAAGATATATTTGAAGAAAATTTCATTACCTCTGTTTTACTTTTAGT